GTGCGTGCGTGCGTGCGTGCGGTGTGCGTGCGTGCGTGCGTGCGTGCGTGCGTGCGTGCGTGCGTGCGTGCGTGCGTGCGTGTGTGTGTGTGTGTGTGTGTGTGTCACATTGCTGTTGTCAAAATCAACACACGGCTTTTAGCCCGCAAGCACAAAATCCCAAATTTCCGCTAAAGAGGTGCTGCAGCAAAACCAGTGAATGAAATAAAACATTTTATCATAGCTCAGGGCTTTTTCAACATTACAGTATGAGGAACTAGTTGAATGTATGAAGTGTGGAGGATTGTTGGGGAAAACATGAACACATTTGGCTTTAATTTTTCTATTTGCTTGTTAGCATTCAGCTCACGAAACTGTCAATTGTCATCATTCACAGTGGTTTTGGAAAGTTGTGCAGCAACTAACTCAGGAGGAACGAGTTCTCATGCTTCAGTTTGTCACTGGAAGGTTTGTCTGCACCATTGACGCTTGTCTGTTCAGAAAATTGCTTTAGATTCTGTTTCAGGAATGTCCTTGACCCACTTTCATCCTTCACTATCAGTTCCAGAGTTCCTCATGGTGGCTTTGCCTATTTGATGGGAGGCAGCGGCTTACAGAAGTTCACTATTGCTGCAGTGCCATACACCTCGAACCTCCTGCCTACCTCCAGTACTTGGTAACCGCCTTGCACTTCTTTTCAGCCCAGTCCACTTTTGTGTGTAACAATGTGTGGATCTGTGTTAGGAGGGTTACATTCCTACAATGACTGCGGCCTATTTACCAATTGTTCAAGTCCCCTTTGAAATAAATGACTTTGAAGGTAATCCCATAGTAACAGTCAAGGTGTGAACATTTTTTACCGTAATTTCCGGATTGCAAAGCGAACCTGCGAGAACAGCTACATTTAGCCATAAAAACAAATATGTACAATTCGACATATATTGACCACAGGTCTCGCCAATAATTTGCAAAGAAACATGTCACGCAGATGTATTTAAAAATACAAACTCCTCTAAATTTTAAATTCCCATTCACACTGGTTAACCTTTTTTTGCCTCCAAACAAGCAGAACACTTCTAGTTACGTAGATGCCTTCCAGAAAAGTCATTGATCGCCGCATCTGATCTGCGCTTGCTTTGTCTTGACATAAATGCGTAGTGATGTCGTCATTTACACACTTGAATTAATTTTGACCAAAGACTAAAAGTCAAGTAGTTGTCAGCTTTATTTTACACTTTTGTTAATTTATTACAAATGACTCCTGAATGTAGAGTTAGTTGTTTTATTTTGGACACAAATGCTTTATTGCAGAATGACAAAATTCTGCCTTTTGTCAAAAATAAAAGAAAAGTCTTTCTTTAAAAGTATCTGTCATTGATTTAATAGAAATTGTATTAATCAAAAATAGAAGCGAAAACGTTTTCTTACTTTCGGTATCATTGAGTACTCAAATTCATCTAAAAAAAAAAGATCGAACATGCCTAGTAAAGACGGTTATGGTCTGTAAATTATGATAATAACATGATTTATTGGATTATGTTTGGTACTCTGTGAAATGTTATATTGATTTAATCATGAAATTATTCCAGCTAGATGTCCCTTCATAGTCTACAAATGCAAGATTTACCCTGTAGACAAGTAAAAATTCAACGAATCCATTGAATTAAGTGGACCAACTACTGTAATCTCTTTTGGGGCATCATGTAAAGATAGGGGAAAGAGCCATTTGATGGTGATGTCATTTTCAGCATCTTTCTTCAATTTGACACGTGCAGTTATTTGATTCCAAATAGATTATAAATGCATGTTGTATTCAATAAACATCCGTCTACATCAGGGGTGACCAACTAATCGATCGCGATCGACCGGTAGCCCGCGGACCGGGCCCAAGTTGATCGCAAGGAGTGTAGGGGGAAATGGAAACAAAAAAAAAAGATTTGTGTGACTGCGTGCATGTTATCCATCCATCCATTCATTTTCGACCGCTTATCCAGGGTTGGGTCGCGGGGGCAAGAGCTTTAGCAGGGAAGCCCAGACTTTCCTTCTTCCCCTCTGCCCCCACAACCTGAACCCGGATAAGCAGCAGATGGTGGCTTTTATTTTTAAATATCCATTGTAAAATATGGACACATGGACACTTTTTTTTTTTTTTTTACCCTTCTGGACAGATATGACACCAGCAGTCCTCCAGTTGCACATATGCTGCTATGATCTGAGCTTTACCGTTCTGACTGTGTTTCCTTGACATGTCTCCCATTTCTAGTATCAACATGCTGAAACTGCCCGAATACCCCAGCCAGGAGATCCTGAGAGATCGCCTCCTGGTAGCGTTGCATTGTGGGAGCTACGGGTATACTATGGCATAAACATCAGTTGTGCTGCTCGAAGAGTCTGCAAAGTCATGAACTCTTTCCCCTCCAGACAATGTCTTTGTATTCACTCGCTATTTTTGCTGGACAAAAAAAAAAAAAAAAGGGAAATCGAAATTTGTTGAGAAACGAAAGTTAAGAGTCGCACATCAGATTGAAGACAGGAGAGCTGAGTTGCCTCCGGAATCCCTCCATCCTCACTCCTGCCTGCCTGTCAACCCCTTTGGATCACGCCTTCTTGTCTGTTTTTGCTGTTTTTTTTACACAATTGACAATGATTCAAATGTTTTATGATAGAGTTATAATATAAAGCATTTATCGATGAGGCAGGATGATACTGCATATGTACTGTACATATTGAGAATACATGGTAAAAAAAGAGTTTCGATATTTAAGTCATCTTTGTGTTTTAACTGAGATGCAATATTTTACTACTATAAGCAGCTCAAACGGTAGAGGAAAAGGGAGTGTAAAATTAATCTCCACATAGTTCTGAACAGTTCCAGTCTAAATGCCCTGCATTCCGTGGTATTCTGCAAGTAAAGTTAACATGAACATGTTGATCAAGTCCAATTTATTTGCATCCTTGTTTGCATTACAATATGCTATACAATGTTAGTCAAAATGATGTAATGTAAGAGTCAATTTAATAAGATCAAGCTCTGCAAGAAGACGCCTTTGGAGAAATGGGTCCTCAAAACCCGGCCTGGTTGGTCAGTGAGGAAATCTTGATAGCAGCGCCTCAGAGGAGGTGGTCCACCTCAGATCTTCTCCGGATCAGTCAATGCAGAATCCGTACGGCGACATCAAATCGGGTCATCGTCACCTTGTCCTCACTCAAAGCCGGGGGGTGCTGGAGAAAGAAAAGCAGCAGCACTCAAACAGGCCAACATGTAGTTCAACCACATGCAAATAATTCTTAAGTTCAGTTTTAAACATTTCTACTGAGGTGGTGGCGTTCCAGTCCACTGGTGCCCAAATTGAAAATGCTCTAGAAATCTGCGGTTTTCTTTTTGGCTCTTTGGATTACCAAAAGATGAGCGTGGTGTGAACGAAGGTTTTGGGACTGAACTTACTGTACCATGAAATCAACGAGATAGGAAGCTGCTAATATTTTATAGCTACGTAGCAAAACCTTGAAGTCACATCTCAAGTGGACCGGGAGCCAATGCAGTCGCGCAGATTGGACAAACAATCATACAATTTGTGCTACAATCATGTCATTTGGCCTAAGTATTCCTTATTATTCGCTTTTTCAGAAAAGAGTGCCAGGCACGAAAAAAAAATCTATTTGGCAGGGATTTTTCGAGAAGGCCACCAAATGCTATGCTGCGTGGTTTTGTTCAAATAAAAGAATTGTGTATAAACCAGAAATTTGCCAGGAGTGTTCCTTTTGGGTCAAAAAGTAATTAGCACATTTTACTGTTTCTATCAAAGCAAGCAATAAAAACACAAGGAGCAGAAAAGAAACGAAGGCTTTAAAAAAAAAATCAACAGTGTCTTACTCATTTGTTCTCATCCACCTTGAAACCAGATAGACTTTTTATTAGTTTCATTAGCACTCCTGCTATTAATTTTGTTCTTATCTTGTCGAAAGCTGCTGAAGAAAGCAAGAACGATTAAAGGAATAAAATGTGTTTGAATACGAGAGGCATTTTGCCTAAAGCTGCACTTATTCGATCCACTCAATGCTGTGGCGAGAAAATTTGTCTTTTTTATTTTTTTATCGCAAGTTTTCACCACAGCCACATATGCTCGCAGGAACATTAATCAGAAGCCTCTGTAACCATCTGTAGGGAATACGCCAGATATTGCCAGTCCACCCAGAACAATATGTGTACAGTATATGTGTCTGTCGGGGTTCCCGTGTACTAAGCATATTCTTGCATGTTAGCATCGCTTTCATCACGAATACAAGTTTGATATCTCCTCAAACCTTTGTCACGAGTTAAAGGTGGCTGTAAAGCAACATAAATCATCTTGATTTTCTCAAGAAATTATTAATGGGGACGTTGTTTCCCCAGCACTATTCTGTTTTGGCTGCAGTTTCAAAACAAGAAGTTGGATTGAAGTTCTCAAAGTCTTATGAAGAATGTTTAGGAAATGATTGCTGAAGACAAAATGATGTATGCAGAACAAATGTAATAACAACATAGCCAGATCTCTGCAAGCCATGTGGGAAGAAGGAAATTTGGCTTTGCAGGGCTAAACAGTATGAAAATGCCCAAGATGAAGCTGGAAAAAGGTTGCTGCGAGATCAATAGGACATGTCAGCAGCCTACAGGCCTGTTAAGGCACCCTCAGGGCCATATCCAAAGACTGAAGTGTGAGAAGAGTGTGGGGGTGATTATGGCAGCGCTGCTTGCTCCACGAGGGGCAACATCACAGCCAATGTCAAACAGAGCTGGAGAGATTTCAAACCCAGAAACATGATTATCGCTTTGAACTGCCGACCCCTCCAACGAGCTCCAATACTGATGTGTATTCATGACTCTGAGACAAGGCCAACACGGGATGGAATCCACACACACACACAAAACGCACTGTAGAGTAGTTAATCTACACTTTGATGGTTTTACTCTTTCATAATTCTCTAGGCAAGCAAAAAAGAAAAAAAAAAGCAATACAAGGAGAATGACCCTGACTATGACCGTGACCTCTCCTTTGAGATCAAGTAGCCTAGAAAGAAGAGGAGGTGCAGCCATGCATGAAGAACATAACCCGGGGCATTTGTTCTCCAAATCTATGCTGCCCTCGAAGCAGGGCAGCTACCAGGACACACATTGGATTGACACATAGACCTTTTTTTTCATCACGGAGTTTGTACATCATGCTCTAAAATTGTGCATTTGAATGTTTGCACAAGTAATGTTGCATAAACTATCCAAGGGGGTGCAACACACGGCGAGAAATAAGACAATGTACTAATATTTACATCCATCCGGTTTCGGATCAGCTTATCCTCACAAGGGCCGCAGGGCATTCGGACAGCAGGCGGGGGACACCCTGAACCGGTTGCCAGCCAATCGCAGGAAAACTGATATTTCCCGAAACAAATGAAATCGTAAACAACAATGGACATAAAGTACACTTTATAATGTTCTGCCTGGTGGAATATATGTTTTTATTTATCATGCTATACACGTACATGTAGGTTTTGTTTCCTTATGATTTAATGAATACAGAACTGTTTGGCTCTCAAGTACACTTAAAAATTGCAACGCTTTCCTGTGTCAAGTGGAACCTCGGTCCACAAGTTTAATTCATTCCGAGACCGTTGAAATGAATGGAAATGGAATTCATCCATTCCAGCCCCAGAGCCAAGCTATATTTACCTTGTTTTTATTAGTGTTTGGTTCAAAATGAATACAGTACATTATTGAAATAATTGAGAACATTTTATGATGAACAAATGGGGATCTCTACGAGCAAACTAGAAACTTTGGATTTCCCAGCATCCAGGTCATTTCAGCACACCCTGTTTTTCTTTTGTGCCCTCCCACGTTTGAAACGCGATGTTATGCAAGATGGCTCGAGACATCCAAATGCCACACATTGAGAATTAAAACAAAACACATGTTGGGGGTGTTAAAAAATCGATTACTGCTCAAAGCATTAGTCTTATTTTTGAATAGCACATCATTAAATGCAATACAGATTGGTTTACATAGTCAACCTCCATTTATACTACTGTATGTCTCCAACTCTGTTTCCTACACAGACCACAAAGGTCACTTCCTCATGAAAATGTTTTTTAATGTGTTGTTGCTTTTTCCCTCAGCCAGACAGCTTGAGTTGACAGAACCGATTACACAGAAACCTTAGGATTTGAGAGGAGATTTGCAGCGGCACAGCGAACTGCGAGCACAAACAACTGCCTCCTAAACTGATAAAAGGAATTGTTTGTTTTGTTGAGCAAAACTCTGCTGTGTGGCTTTGGGATAATGATGGCCTCGACAAACTTGAAGAACCGAGAAAACAGCCCCGCTGTTAGGAAATGCCACAAATGAAGGTTCACACTCCCGCAGCTACGTCACTGATGGTGTAGTGCTACATTCACCTGACTTCAATGAAGGCAGCGTGGCTTCACTTCCCACTGAGTGACAGTGTGAATGTAAGTGGGAATGGTTGTCCGTCTCTTGCGACAAACTGGTGACCAGTTCAGTATGTAGTCGCCCAAAGTCCGCTGGGAAAGGCTTCAGCATTCCTTGTCCCGAATCAGAATAAGTGGCCTTGAGAGATTGGTTTGAGGAAGTCACATAATCCACAAGCACATCTTCAGCCTCATTGCTTTGAACTGCTTCAAGCAAAGACAAACAGTCTGTGCAATGACTATCTGCCCTCAACATAATTCAGTCTTTTGGCTGAATAGCAACAATATGGATTTACGATTTTGTATGTGTGTGTGTGTGTGTGTGTGTGTGTGTGTGCGCGCGCGTGCGCGTGAAATGAAGGCAGAAAGCGAATGCAATGATAGGGAATGAACAGCATGAAACGGCACTAGGTCTTTTGCGGAATGAAACACGGTATTGTGCAGGAGAGCTCCAATGTGTGAGAGAGCATTGAGTCGAACAGATGTAATCTGTCTGTGTGGATGCAGATGTAATAACTCGACAGGAAGAAACCATAGAAGCGACTCTGTCAATGTCGCAAATATGTGGTGCAAAGAGAAAAAGATGTATATAAAAACAAGCTGCATTAGTTGCTCAGGCAACGCAAGGCACGTTTTAGGAAGTAAATGACCATGGTGAATTGCAAATATTCCTCTCAAGTCACATATTTAGAGTGTTGTGTTTCTATACACAGCATGGAGAAATAACGTTTAAAAATTGAAATAAGACGAATAGTCATCTGTTGTATCAAGGACATTCAATATGTAATTGAATGTGTATACAGTAAAGTTTCCAGGTAAAATAAGGACACAAGTGATTTATTATTATTATTTTTTTTACTACTAGCTGATTTCAGATTCAGATTCAGAAAACTTTATTTATCCCCGTGGGGCAATTGGAGTTGTGCTGTGTCCTGTTGTTTACAAATTTTGCCAACAAAGTGTTCGCTAAACACCGAAGCATGACTTCAAACCTACCTCAAAGGGAGAATTTGCAGTTTTCAAACTGCTCACAAAATTTCACTTCACTAACCATGAGACTCTGACCAAAGTCACGCTCCTCACCAACGTGCACGAGCACGCTTACCTGGCTTGCAGATGTACGGTGGTCATTTATTACAGCAGGAATAACTTGATCAACTTTGTAATGTGTTTTTCACTAGTAAGTAAAAAAAAAACAGATATTATCATAATAACTTTGGTGCAGACTAACACGTGGCGTTAGGACATTAGCGGCATGAATGTTACATTTGATTAGAAGCCGCTTACATGGCACCAACTAGATTCAACTAAAGCTACAAATATCAATACGCCACATTTTAGCAGACTAGCCTGGACGAGAGGCAGAACAGGTCCCCTGAGAGGAAGGACCCTCAGGCCATGAATTTATATATGTGTGGAGTATCAATTGGTCCCTGGCAAATGAAGCCAGGAGCCAGCCATCTTGCTTTGCCACCATTCCTGACAACTTCTGTTTTTTGTTTGTTTGTTTGTTTGTTTTGTTTTGTTTTTTAGATGAAACCACTAGAATCCCTGTATGGAATAATGAGAGCTTCTCAAAAAAACAAGGCTGATTGAACACTCGAAAATAATCATGGGTGTCAAACTCATTTTTTTTGCAGTCCAGATTTTAGTTGCAGTTTCCCTTGGGGGTCGTTACGACTGAAACTATATAAAGAAGTCAAGAATAACGGTTTATTCAGCTGTTGTTTGAGTTACTGAAATGTGGTGTTTGTTCACAAGAAAATGCTGACAATATCACTCTTATTTCTAACAAATTAGAATTTTAAATTTTGGCAGAGATTTTAGCAAGCATCATGAAAGTTGCCGTCTTTGATTTGCTTTCGCGGGCCACATAAAATGATGTCATGGGCCAGATCTGGACCCCAGGCCTTCGCTTTGACACCGTGGTCTAAATTGTCCCTTGGTGTGAGTGTGAGTGAGGATGGTTGTATGTTTCTGTGTGCCCTGTGATTGGCTGGCAACCGGTTCTGGGTTTCCCCAGCCGACTGCCCAAAGACAGCTAGCATAGGCTCCGGCATGCCAGCGACCCTCATGAGGATAAGCAGATGAGGAAAGTGGATGGGTGGATGGAAGATCCAACCACCATGAGATCTTGTAAGAGAGAATTGAAAGACTGTGCATAGACCTACGGATTATATTTATTTGTTCTTGCAGTTGGGGTTTCCATGCCTTGACAGATGTATGTTAACTGAAATCCGGGCACCTTCCTGACCCCGGAGAGAGCAATGGCATTTTTTCTTATATGCAGTGTGGCAATACAGAGTCTTAAGACCTGGAAAAAAGGGTGGTTATCCGAAGCTGTGTAGTGTGGAAAACAAGGAATCACTACCCTGATCCCAAATGACAGTACGTAGTATTAACACAAAATACTACAAATTATGCACTTGAGGAACCACATTTCAAATTGAAACTCACCTGCAAATTCAAGATAGAAAGCTTTTTGAGAATTCCTGACATTTGTTGTGTCTCTTTTCTGGTTTGCCAGCAGGAAACCGTTAAGTGACCATGGCAAT